CTGTCCCCAAAGCGGCCCCTGTCCCCAATGTGTCCCTTGTCCCCATGTCCCCAAAGCGGCCCCCGTCCCCATGTCACCCATGTGTCCCTTGTCCCCATGTCCCCAAAGTGGCCCCTGTCCCCATGCACCCCATGTGGCCCCCTGTGTCCCTTGTCCCTGTGTCCCCAAAGTGTCTTCTGTCCCCATGTCACTCATGTGGCCCCAAAGGGTCCCTTCTCCCCATGTCCCCAAGGTGGCCCCCATCCTCGTGTCACCTGTGTGTCCCCTGTCCCCATGTCACCCATGTCCCCAAAGTGTCCCTTGTCCCCATGTCTCCAAAGTGTCCCTTGTCCCCATGTCTCCAAAGTGTCCCCTGTCCCCATGTCATCCATGTGTCCAAAGTGTCCCTTGTCGCCATGACGCCCGTGTGTTCCCGTGTCCATTGTCCCCATGCCCCCTGTGTCCCCAAAGTGTCCCCTATCCTCATGCAAGTGCCCTCTGTGTCCCCCTGTGTCCCTTGTCCCCATGCCCCCCATGTCCCCTGTGTCCCTTGTCCCCATGACCCCWRTGTGTCCCCCTGTGTCCCATGTCCCCAAAGTGTCCCCTGTCCCCATGTCACCCGTGTGTCCCCGGTCCCTATGCCCCCATGTGTCCCCCTGTGTCCCCTGTCCCCGTGTCACTCATGTGTCCCGCTCCGTGTCCCTTGTCCCCATGTCACCCGTGTGTCCCCTGTCCCCATGTCCTCTGTGTCCCTTGTGTCCCCATGCGAGCGCCCCTCGTGTCCCCTGTGTCCCTTATCCCCATGTCCCTGTGTCCCCAAAGTGTCCCATGTCCCCACGACCCCCTGTGTCCCTTGTCCCCATGTCACCCATGTGTCCTCAAAGTGGCCCCTATCCCCATGTCACCCGTGTGTCCCCAAAGTGTCCCTCGTCCCTATGCGAGCGCCCTGTGTGTCCCCGTGTCCCTTGTCCCCATGTCACCCGTGTGTCCCCCTGTGTCCCTTGTCCCCATGTCCCCAAAGTGGCCCCTGTCCCCGTGTCACCCATGTGTCCCCAAAGTGTCCCTCGTCCCTATGCGAGCGCCCTGTGTGTCCCCGTGTCCCTTGTCCCCATGTCACCCGTGTGTCCCCCTGTATCCCTTGTCCCCATGTCCCCAAAGTGACCCCTGTCCCCATATCACCCGTGTGTCCCCAAAGTGTCCCTCGTCCCTGTGTCCCCAAAGTGTCCCTCGTCCCTATGCGAGCGCCCTGTGTGTCCCCGTGTCCCTTGTCCCCATGTCACCCATGTGTCCCCCGTCCCCATGCCCCCTGTGTCTCCAAAGTGTCCCTTGTCCCCATGCCCCCATGC